AGGGCAAAAGAAGAAGAAGGGGACAGCAGAGAAGGAGGTGGCTGGATGGAGTCACCGAAGCAGCCGGCCTGAGATTCAATGGAGTCCAGAGGATGGGAAGGCTTGGAGGAACGTGGTCCATGGGGTTGTGGTGGGTTGGACACGACTTCACAACTAACAACAACAACAACCCCACGCCAGTATGAGGTGAGTCCTTCTCCTCAACATCCCAACACGCTAGAAGTCAACCAGGAGGACCGGTGAACTTCGGCCAATGGGGGAAGGGAGGAAGCAGGCTCATCCTTGAGCTGTGAGTAAGGACGGAGCAATGGGTGGCGTCTGAGCACTGTCTTCTGGCCGGGGGCCAGTCAGCACAAGGAGAGGATTGCACCAGACTTGCAACTCGTAGCTCCCTCCATAAGGTGTCTCCGGGACACACCTTCGCGAGGTATAAAACTGTGCCAAGGAGACAACCAGCGAGAGCAGCACCTCCAAACCCCAGGGAGCAGGTAAGTCGGCCTTCTCTCTTGAGGCCCCCTTCCCCAAAACCGAGAGAGGGCAATTCGAGGGTTAGGGTCTCTCCTCTTCCCTTCCCTTCCCCATCTTCTTGGCAACCTTCCTCCACTCTTTCTCTTCGTCCCTGAATCTTCTCGGTTGGACAAGTTTGGGCAAATCGCTCCTCCAAACTTGCCGACGGCAATCCAGAACAGATTGTACGGTGTGGGGACGGTTCAGGTTTTCAACGCAACAGGGAGCGTTTCCCGCACACGTACAAACCTTCCCCCCCTTTTCTGCTTTCCCCCTGCCCTGTGATAGGAGACCCCATTTGAACCCGGGAGCGAACTCCTCAAGCTCCGGAGAAACCACTCAACGGCCACGTTATCGTGATCTTCCGAAAGGGGGGGATATCTTGCCCGAGAACCAGCGAGGAGCCGATCTGTCGGGAGAACGATGGGTTGTCGATGCGGCAAGAAGCGAAAGGTGAAAAGGGGGTAGGGGGAAACGGGTGGGGTGGGTTGCGTGTCGCGGGGAGGGTTTTTTTGGGGGAGAAGTGAGAAGCAAAAGACAGACTGAAGAAGATGGGCCTAATTTGGGAACCTTGAGGTGCAACGGAGAGGCAAAACTGGAGGAATATCTCCACGGCAGATTTTCGAGAGGCCGTAGACCCCCAAGTTAGATCCCCTAATTCCAGATTGGGGACTCACATCCTTTCAAAAAAAGCGCGAGGGAAGGGAGAAATTTAATTTTCAGAAGAGGAAAGTGGGCAGAGATGGTGGCACGATTCCAAATCCAGATGGAAAATTGCTTAGAAGAAGATTAAACCCTAACTTGGAAGTTCCAATTCCAGGGGGTGAAAATTAAACACCTAAGATTAAGACAGTTTGGCCCTGGAGTTTGGGTCCTCCTTCGCACAAAACTCAAAATTTTTGGGTGGGAATGTTCTAATTTAATTGCCTGCGTTGTGTTGTCCCCCCCATGACCTCCGATTCTCATTCAAACTCTACTGTTTTAATTGAGACCAAGACGTTATTATTATTCTACTATGCAGAAGACAGTTGGAATCCATCTGTTTTATTTCCTTTCTTTTTTTCTTGACTTGTTTTTAATTTTTTCCTCCTTTTGGATCCTCTTTGCCGTAGGTTTTCCTCTCCCCCCAATTTATCTTGCATTTTATCTCTTTGAAACTTTAGCCGAACGGGCTGAATTCAAGGCAAAGTGGTTTTTTTTTTGGCGACAATCATTTTACAATAATTGAATATATTGGGGCAAGCCAAGCCTTTTCCGGTAGGAGAACGGCACTCGTAAAAAAATCCATCTATGCGATTGCTCGAAATAAAAAAACATGATGGGACATCAACCATCAACCCATCAGAATATTGACAGGGGAGGGAGGCCTATGAAAATTCAGCAATCTTCTCCATCATCAAATTCTCCATCCTAGTTTTGTCTCCAGGAAAATATCTTCACACCGAGGGGGGCAACTTTTCCATTTCGTTTTTTCCCCCCCCAGGAATTAAAAATAATTCAGTCGAACAATGAGTCACAATTGTTCTCTGGCCAGCAAGAAACAAAGTTGGGGGGGGGGGGAGGAAACTAGATTTTGGAAACCTCAGAAGACAAACAGGTTGGGAATATTTTGGAATTTAATTCGGATCGCGTTCTGGGTTCGAAAGAATCCGCCAGCGATCCAGGCAACTTTCTTTTCGGTTTCCTTGGCCGCCTGTGAATTTAATTTGCAACCTATCGAGATAAAATTCGGCTCGAAGAAATGAGATTGACTCTCAGGAAACGCCCCAATGCTTGTGAAGACGCAAGGAAGGTGGATCCCGAAATTTAACATTTTCGGCTTGGGAGAATCAAGGTTAACTTGCAGATTGCTCAGATCCAGCCGCTGTGCTTATCCTGACTTCAATCTGTTCGTTTTAAATAAATAGCAAAACAATTAGTGAAAAGATTCTTTTTTTTAAATATCAGAAAAATGGGTAACACTCCAAATATTGGAAGGAGCCATTTCTAACCACGGTCAGTGCTGACCGGGGTTAATCTCTGCCTTAAAGTCTGTTATATTATTTGCTTTAAATCCCAAAAAAAGATTCGTCGGGCCGGTGTTGCAAACATTGGTTTCCAGATTCATGCCAACGAAACCATCCTTTTTAAAAAAAACGTTATTATTTTCTCCTCTGTCTCGGCCTCCAATCCATCGTTTAAATCCATCCTCCGATTTGGCAGATTTTGCAATGAAATGGCGATAAACAAACGCCGCCTGGGCTGGGAAATTCGCAATATTTATGTTTCCGTGGAGAGGCCTGGAAAAAAGACATGAGTAATGCAATCATTTTTATTTGGGAGAACTAGGGGAAAAAAATTAAAAAAAGGCGAGAATCAAAATTTGGGTAGAAGAGGCTTCGAAATGCAGATTTTTCCACTTTTTTCTTCCTCGTCTTTCTCCCCAGAAAAATAAATCCATTTCACAGGGGGGATTTTTCCTCTATGCATCTTCTCCATCGTTTGGATGTATTTTCCCCCAGCCCAATCCTTCCCAATGGATGCTGCAGCTGGGGTTTTTTGGGAAAATCAAAATAGCTGCTAATTTTGCAAGTATTTTGCAAAGTTTTCTCCAAGCTGAGATCTTTAAAAAAACAAAACATTTGCACACCAGATGTGCCCCAAATGATACCAGGAACATTTGATCAGGAAATATAAAAGATCCAGCCTTGATCAAAAGCTTGGGCTAAACTCCATTCATCGTTCATCCTGTTACAATGGTCTCTTTCTCGACAGGCATCCTGGCTTGTGTTAAGCCAACATTGAAGGGCATCCTGGCTGGTCTAAAGCCAAAGTTAATTTAAAAACAGCACCAACCAGAAAACATGGTCAGGTTTGAGGGATTCAGATGAAATATTTGGCACGCACCAAAATTCCATCCATTCGCCCAAGCTTTGAAAGACTTTTGAAATATTTAGGAATTACCAAATTGGGAAAGGCCAGATTTGGGGGGGTTTTGGAGCAAAAACTCCAAAGGAGAACAGGTGATCGTCGAAATGACGAAAATTACCTGTCCAGGTAGCACCCAGTCAGGTTGATAAGCTTCGGTTGGTGTGTTGGGCCTCCGTCAAGAAAAAAAAATATATTCTGCCTAATTGTCGATTTGAGAGTAAGAAACCAACATGTTTTATATCTGCATCTCCGCCAATTGCTTAAGTACAGAAAGGAAGCAGAACTCCTTACCCAAATTCACCCCTCCAGTCTTTTAAATGCCTTTTAAATTTAGATGTTTGTCGACTCACAATCTTTGTTAAACTTTTTTGAGCATGTTTTACATCTGCATCTCCACCAAAGAAAATGGGATATTTTCCCCCTATTGTTCTGCTCCTCTTTTCTTCCCCGACTCTTCGTTTTGCTATTTTTCTGAGTTTTTCTTTTTAAAACCTAGTTTGTTGAAATGTACAGGAGAGGGAGAGGCGGAGTGTGAAACTGTGTGTGCCCCAGACTTTGGCATAAAAAAAAAGTTTTGGACGCCTTAAAGAGCCGGCTGTTTCGGGGAGGGTGCAGCTGTGTGTAGGAAGGTGCTCGGCAGGTTAAGCGACTTTGGCGAGAGATGGCGCACACGGGGAATTGCGTGGCTGGGATGAATCCTCACCTGTCCTCCTCTTCCCACCTGCCCTCCGCGCCTGCCTTTACAGGATAGCCAAGAACTCACCGATGTCGAGAGAGCCATTGAGATCGTCATCAACAACTTCCACTGTTACGCCGTCAAGGGACACAAGGAATGCCTCACGCCCAACGAGTTGAAAGACCTAGTTGGACAGAGGCTGCCACATTTAGCCAAGGTGAGACCAACAGCGCCCGGGACGTCCGGTGTCCCAAGACGGGATCGGGACACCGATCAATCCCCCCTCCCCCCCCCCCGAAGGAACGGGTTTGGGCTGGTTGAAAATCCAGCTCGAAAGTTATTCCGGGGATTCTGAATTCCGTTGGGCAGAAATTCCCGCGTTCGGGGCCACCACCGAAAAGGCCCCGCTGTGTGTTTTCTTTGGGCCACCCCCGAAAAGGCCCCACCGTGTGTTTTCTTCGGATTGCAAAGATCTCCTTTTTAAAAATAAATAAATAAATAAAATAAATTGGGGTCTCTCCCCCCCCCCCACCGCCGAGGCCAACCCCCAGATTGTGTTTCAACGCAAAAACCCAGGTTGGATTTCAAGAGAAGAAAGTTCTGCATTTTAATGTAAAGACACAAGTTTCTGCGTTAAGATAGGTATTTAGTTTGGAAACTTCTTTGTATCCTGGAATGGTCTAGTTTAATTTTAGTTTAGTTTAATTTAGAGTTTAAAGTTTCATTTAGTTTAGAGTTTAGTTTAGTTTAAGTTTAGTTTAATTTNAAGGAAGGAAGGAGGAGAAATCTTTCATAAATAAATGGATGGATTACTAGATTAGATTAGAGTAAGATGAAAGAAAAAGAAAGAGAAGAGAGAGAGAAAGAGAAAGAAAAAAGATGGAAAGGAAGAAAGAAATAAAGAAAGGGAAGGAAGGAAAGAAAGACAAAAGAAAGGAGGGAAGGAAAGAAAGAAAGAAAGAAAGAAAGGAAGGAAGGAAGGAAGGAAGGAGGGAAGAGAAAAGTTTCGTAAATAAATGGATGGATATGTAGATTAGATTAAAGATGAAAGAAAAATAATAAAAGATAGAGAGAAAAAGAGAAAGAAAAAAGATGAAAAGAAAGAAAGGAGGGAAGGAAAGAAGGAAAGGAAGAAGGAAGGAAGAAAAAGAAAGAAAGAAAGAGGAGGGAAGAGAAAACTTTTTGTAAACAAATGGATAGATTAGTAGATTAGATTAAAGATGAATGAAAAAGAAAGAAAGAGAGAGAGAGGGAAAGAGAAAGGAAAGAAAGAAATAAAGAAGGAAAGAAAAAGAAAGGGAAGGATGGAAGAGACAGTAAGAAAAGAATCGTAAATGTTTGGATGGATTAGTAGATAGATTAAAGAAGAAAGAAAAAGGAGAGAAGAAAGAAAAAGAAAAAGAAAGAAAAAACAGAGGAAGGAAGGAAGGATACATATAGTGACCGAAGGGGCTGGTTCCAATTGCCATCGTAAGCTGCCCCTTTTGAGACCGCTTGGTTTTCAACATCAGCCACTGTCTTCACAAAATTCATCCCCATAGCTTTCTTCTTCATCACCCCACTGTTTTTCTCTCTCCCTTCCCTTCTTCTTCCTCTTCTCTGGCCAGCCTGCCTCACCCTCACATCCAACGGGAGACAGACATACACACAGACACACACACTCCACTCGCCATGACCAGCAGCGACCTGACCGAGCTGGAGAAAGCCATCGAAAAAGTCGTCGACATCTTTTTCAAGTGCGCCGCGCAGGAAGGGAACAAAAGCACCCTTACTATCAGCGAGTTTAAAGAGCTGGTCAACCACCAGCTGCCCAACCTTATGAAGGTGGGCACATCCAGGGGGAAGGGGAGGGGTGGGAGACGGGGAAGGGGGGGGGCCACCTGGTTTAGGAGAACCAGGGGGTGTTTTCCCCCCCCTTTTAAAAAATAATTTTCTTCCCCGTGGCGCCTTTTTTTCCCTTCCCCTTTTCTTTCGAAGAACGTCGAAAACCTGGACGAGAAGATGAGAAGCTTGGACGTCAACAACGACCAGGAGCTGAAATTCGGAGAATACTGGCGGCTGATTGGCGAACTGGCCAAGGAGATCAAGAAAGAGAAAGCGGGGAAGAAGAAGTGACCGAGTGGCGGAGGGTGGATTTGCGCCTCGGGGTGAAACGAGCGGGAATCGCCAGTCGCGTGTCGGCAAGAGGACGTCAAGAGTCACCGAACCTCTCGCAGCTTTTTAACGTTCAAATAAATCAAATAAAATTCCAGGACTGGTGGTTTTCAGCATTTGATGGTCAGACCAGAATGAATAATCGGGGTTGCCATGTTTGTGAGTGTGTGTGAATGTGTGTGTGTGCACAAAAGAAA